CTTTGTGCGCGTACCTCTCGTACAAACTCAGAGGAGTATCTTCTAAGATGGAGACTTGTACTTTTGGGGGTTTTCAATCTGAAACTCGTCTCACGAGCGAAAGCAAGCAATGTTTTAGTTCACCGTTTTGTAAAAGGAACCTCGTGTGGTAACCAGACAAAAAGGCAGTTGCTCTGTCTTGTTTTTTTTCACCCCCAATTTAAACATGGCCAGAAAGAGATTTTTTTAGAACCTGTTTCAAACTGAAATTCTTTTTTTTGAAAACCTTCAAGCTCGCACCTGTACGCATCACGGAGTTTGGTGGCGCTTCATTTCTTGTTACCCAACTCAATTCCACAACATCCGTGACTGTACCTTTTACATGGCACAGTGAAGCGCAAAAAAAAAAAAAAAAGAATGCAAGCAGAAAATGATTTCTCGAGCCAGTTTCGAACTGAAAACCGATTTCGGCTCCCGCACCAGATGTTCCGCCCGTAAATGAAAACCTTCTAAATCCTGCGTGCTATCCCCTTCAGAACAACTTGTCACCAGTTCGCCGCCAACATTAAGACGGCACAGCATCTCTGCAGGGATGGAGCGGGGCGGGGGGGGGGGGGGTAGTTTGGAAGTAGTTTGGAATACATTCGGGCTTTCAGAAATATTCCTCAGTCGTCGACCGCAGGACGAGGCTCAGCGCCGAGCCGGCCTGCGCGGTTGCGGGCTTTTGGTTTTGCGCTTGCTGTCTGAAGCCACATCAGAGCCTCCGGGCCTGTGTAACGCGATCTGGACGGGCTGAGGAAATCCACCGCCGCCTTCTCCCCTCCCGCCTTTGGGTCAGAGGAAGGCCCTCAGTTACAAACAATTAACAATTCGGAGGCGCGGGGACTTCGTAGCTAATTGTTTTCGTCAATCTCTCGTCTGCCCTCTAATCCCGTTTCATCTCCTCTCGCCGTTTGCTTGATCCGAGACATGAAAAAAACATTTCTGAGCTTTAATTCGAATCAGCCCAACTGCAGTGATGGGCCAAAAGAAAGCCTTTTTTTTTTTTTTTTTGCAAGGACCCAAATACTAAATTAAAGTCATATTTCAGAACAGCTGCGAGCAAACGGGATCCATCGGAGGGAGCGGGAGGTGGGGGCATCAAATTCCCCGTTGAGGCCGCACGCCAAAACCACTTTGGGCAACGGGAGGCGATGGCAGTCGATGTTTTTCCAGGTGTTTGGAGTCAGGCGAGTTTTTTTGCAATTCTGATCCCGCTTACGTCCCTTCAGTATGCAATGTGGCGTCTTCTACTCTGGTTTGCTTCTTCTTTCATCGCCGCTTGTTGTCGTCCAATGAAGTTTAATTGCGACGGTGGCGACGTAACCTGAATTTGTACGTGCAGTAATCCCGAACACGACGTCTCGCGCTAAGCTACGCTAGCGTCGCTGGAAATGGCATAATTATAGCCAATATTCAGCTTAAAGAAAATCCCAGGCCATGAATCAATTCCGCTCAAATGAAAAGTTCAGCGCTTTGTTCAGAACCGTCATAATCGACGTGCTCTCATAGAGTCCCACGAGTGCCCGAGTCGGGTCCTCGAGATCCCCTTCCAGCCTGTTTTTCGACGTCTCCTACTTCCACTGCAGCCGATTCAAATGATCAGCATCATTACCAGACGTTACAAAATTTTACTTGATTAAAAAAAAAAAAAACTAATGACATTGTCGAATCTATTTTAAAAATATTTTATTCTACAGCAGTTTTACCGTGGACCCATGCTGTTCGTGGAAAAATAGACACGGCGCGCATTCGAGAGTGATTGCTGTGCCACACATGAATGGTTTAAAGGGCCACGTTGACAGTTTGTGTACTTGCGGCATTTCGGAGCAATAAAAAGACAAAGGCACTCTCGGAACTTGTCAGTTTTTTTTTTTTTGCGAGGGGGGTGCTCTGGATGTGTGGTGGCATTTAAGAATCTGGTATTAGGAATGACTACTTTCACTCTGAGTGACTGCTCAGTCATCTCGATCATGAGGCAGCATCGTAAACACGGTCCGGGATTTTTGCAGAGGGAGAAAAAAAAACAATCCCTCCCTAAAAAAGTCATTAGCATTCAATTTTTCCAGCCATTCATTTTCTCGCCACCCTGTTGTGCTGAAAGCAATTGTCACATTTAAGGCCGCCTTATTCACTCAATTCCCCCTTTGTCACATTTCGGGATATACTGCTTGTGAAGTTTGATGGCTGACACACAAAAATCCGTCTTGTGTCATCGAATAATTTGATTGTCTCAGTGTGAAAGTGGCACCGTTTCATCTCACTGGGTTCCGTATTAAAGTCTTCCGTTGGGATTCTGATGTGCCCATTTTGTGGGGTCTCTGTGGCACAAAGTCTTTTGAAGCGAAAACTGCACGAGGTTTTTTGGGGGTGTGGGCTTTTTTTTTTTTTTTTGGTGGGGTTGGTTTTGTGGGTCTGTGGTGAGGGGGGTGTTGCTTTTTTTAAACACGGCTACACTGTTACGGCAGTCCGGCTTTTGATGTCAACCAAGGCTCTCATTTGGAGAAGGCAATGACTTCCAGATTTGGAAAGGGGAGCAGCGGGGGTGGGGTCTCTCTGGTTTGTTGTTGTACTTGAGCGACACGCGAACGCTATGTTTACAAAGCTAGCATTAAACTGATATTTTGAACTTTTAGACTAATTACTGATAGCAGATATCCACATCGGGCCCATACCAACCTTATTTCAATGTATCGATTGTTTCGAAAGCCTACCGATACTAGTCACAGATACACATCACTGGCGCCCTCTTGTGGCTGGCCTACTGCCAGCAAGTAAATGGCATGCATAGCACACAGAACTTATTTTTTTTTCCATGTCTCTCCTCTCAAAAGCCCATTAATGTGGATGCAATTTCTATAACGAGATGTATCTTTTGACAATTTATAATGCTTTATGAGCATGCTAGCAAAAGTATACACTCCTTTTTTTTTTAAAAAATCAAACAAAATGTGTAACAGGAAATGGGCGAATAATTGCCTGTTTGCAGATGACATCAAAGATTGACTTCAAAGGAGCAATTACTTGATCAATTGGTTCAAGTATGTAAGCTAAATGCATACGCGTGTTTGTGTTGCGTGCGTGTGTGTACTTGAAAGGCCTTTTTGAGTCGTGTTGGTATTGTCGCGAGTGTTTTATGTGCACTCCTCCGCTCTCGGCGTGACACTTCATGACAGCTCGCATCACACTTGTTTATATCGACGCGACACACACATGCTAAAATACATGCTAAAGAGCACACGCGCACGCTACTAATGTATTCTTTAGTTGTCTTTTTATTCCATTAAAAGCGGAAATTGAAACACTCGTCTCTTTGGTCCTCCACTGGCCCGAGTGTCTTTAATCTCACCTTTTAGAAAGGAATTACATTAATAATTGAAAGAAAGTGGGTGCCCCTGCGTTTTGTCGCCTGAATTAAAAAAAAAAAATGCTAAAATCGCCTTACATTGAAAAAAAAAAAATCGAACTCGTTAGCTTCGAGTATTTGGTGCTGTTTTTTTCTGCACTCTACTGGTCACAATTCTGGACTGATTTGTCTGGCCATCAAGGGGCAGTATACACCATGTATGCATATTAACATGAAGTAAACGATCACGACTGCTCAGAAAGCCGCAGTAATATTGGTCGATTTTCGCAGAGGATAAGGAATCTATGCCTGTGAGTATTTCAACTGTCTGTCTCCATCTATCGATTTATTTTTTGTGTGTTCAGTGATCCATTGTTGAAACACCAACATCGATGCCAGTTTCATGAGCCCGTCCATTGGCGTTTTGCATTGTGTGTTAGCATTAAGCTAGCAGGCTCTCGTAAGGTAACAGTGTGTGGCTGGTTTGAAAACACACCGTGTAATTCTCTTGGTTTTATGTTGAACAGTAAACTTCACCTGGCAATAGCAACAAAAAGTTTGAAATCGACTTTTTGAAGAATTCACTCTCTGCTCCTTGACGGGTAGTTCGCTGCTAAGCGCTCCTGTACAATTGTAAAATCTGAATGACGGGTCAGTCTGGTCACTCGCAAGTGCTGGCACCATTAAATTTGTCGTGATTGAGCAAGATTGAAGCAATGACTCGACTTGCTCGATTTCGGCCCCAGAAACTGGTCGAAACTTGAAGGTTATGAACGGAGACTTCGTAATGACTTGGCCGTGTGAGTCACTCCCTCTTTTACAGACCCGATTCATTTTGTTACTCGATATTGTGAGAAAAGCTCTCAGTTCTTTAAATATATCACCGCAATTGCGTGAATAAAGTTCATTGTGTGTGTTCTGCGAGCATCGTACGTGTGCACACTTGCTTGAGCCGCGCTAAGTGCGTGCGGAACGTGTACGTTGTGTGAGTGTCTGTGTGTGCGAGGTGAGGAGTGGGGGATTTATCCTCCTCGCTTAACTACAGAGCGGTCTGATAATGACGGGGTTGGGACGAGTGCCTCCCCCTCGAGCGCGCTCGGAAAAGGCGGAAGGCGCTCTCGAAGCCACTTCAAGGGTGGCTAATTACGGCGAGGAAACGCGGACGCACGGGCAGGACGCGCTTTTTTTTTTTTCCTCTCTCCCTACTCCTTTTTCTTCGGCGAAACGAGCTCAGCACGTGAAAAGAAGCCGCAGTGACAGATGTGCGCCGTGTGCGCTAAAGTTAGCCCGCCAGCACGCTTTTAGGATTTTTCGTGGCGACGCGGCAACACAAATCGGTTGTTTAGAAGTGCGGTTACGCCACGCTAATGCTAAATACTGCCGTAAATGGCCACGAAGGTTTTTTTTAATGATATGAATTTGTATTATTCATGATCGGAACTCTATGTTTTATACATTTTTTTACATTCATATATTATTTTGTCATAATACTTTGATTTTTTTTTCTATGCCTGTTTCAACCACTCATCAAATCCTTTTCCCACTCGATTGTTTTTTATTTTGTTTTTTGGGGGGGGTTTTAGCATTCATATTTTAATGATTGGATATTTTTTTGTCCCTCCTTGTGTCGTTGCAGTCCAACAAAGTGTCTGTTGTGCAGCAGCCCCACGGCATGCACCCGATTACGTCGCTGCTGCCTTACGGCAACGAGCACTTCGGCGGCAGCCCGCCGCACCTGCCCACCGACATGAGTCAGAAGACTGGTATGAACACATACACTCGCATAGTCACAACAGCTGTTTGATCCATGAAAGTTTCCGTGCTGGTCCACTTCCTTGCCTTTCTGTGACTCCTCCAGTACCCCCTGTATTAACCTGCTGATGCCACTCAGTGGCACTCAAAGCTCATTGGCCTCCCAAACTTTTTGTGTGTTATGACCAAATTTATGTCCTCCTCCCCATTGTAGCAAAAAAGCATCCTATGACTGCATTTCCTTGGAAAAGCATCATTTCGGTTTTACCTTTTCGTTGAATTTTGTGTACATTTCTTGCCAAAATGCTGACGAAGAAATGAGATTCATATTTTTAAAAGACGTGTGTGGCACATCAAACTAATGCACCTCGGGCAATCGGCCGCCTTGTGTGTCTGGAATTCCCCTCTTTTTTTTCCTGTACAAGCACACTTACTAAAGAACACACACACACACACACGTCAATGACGCTAGCATAGTGACTCAGCTCTTAATGACAGACTGAGACACCTGCACACGCACCAAAACACACACAGCGCTCACACCTGGATGCAACGTCCGACGTTTCTCACACCATCTCGGGATCGTTGTCAATCAACACGAGCAGACGCAAAGTTATCTCACCCCCCCATATCATTCGCCACATTGTCCAGGCGTGTGGTTACATCATCAGTGATGTCATCCTTGTTGACCAACAGTAAAGTCGCTCGTTGAAAGAAATCAATGTATCTTTTTAGTGCTGCTACATATATAATTTGTGTTTTTTTTTAAACAAAGCACAACACTAAACGGGCGACGACTGACTCAACCTACCGTGACCGATTTATTGCCTCTCTTTCGCTCTCGGGGTCCCGAAAGGAGCGAGGTCCAGATTACAGTCATCCTGAGGCATTCCTTCGCAGCAAACACTGGTTAGCAAACACAATTGGGCCTGCCTAAAAGCTAGCTGCTGCCTGTTGACAAATGACTTCCTTCGATCACACCCAACATTATTCTACTGTGTGAACAAGAAGAAGAAGTAAACAGCCTACACTGCCATAGCTGTGTAGGTTATTTTTTCACGCCATTTTTAAAATCTGTGTTTAAAATGATGACGCACTTTTAACGTCTCTTCCGTGATTTGGCACTTTTCCCAACCAAACAAATTCATTTCTTCCAATATCCCTTCAAACATGCATACACAAAAGGAGAGCTATCCTTCTTCTGGGCTATTGCGCAAGAGGCTGAAAGTAGGCATAGCGCCACCTATGGTTGTGGAGTCCAATGTATCTATTGTCAGTCGCACAATTCGACTTTATGGAGTGGTTGCTGGTGCATTTTAAAGCTACAGTTGGCCAAGGTGGAAAGCTCTCACACACACACACACACACACACACACACACACACACACACACACACACACACAAATACACACCATGTCATTGTATGACCTTTGTGTATCTTTACGTGCACTTAATATGAGGTTCCCACACTGCTAATAGCGCTAATTGCCCTAATGGAGGCCCCTGAACTGACCTGATGATGTGCCTAAAAGATACAAGTACGAGTGTAGTTGTCATAAGTGTGTGTGTGTGTGTGTGTGCTTGCGTGCGCCTGTAGGTGTTCACAGGCACCAATCCCAGGACCTTTCAGGATACTACCCTCTCCCTTCAGGCGGTGTTGGACAGATCTCACCCTCTATGGGGTGGTGAGTGTCATGTACACACACACACACACATTACAACGCAGACCACCTATGTGAGTGCCTCCTCTGTGAACTTGCGGTGACCTTGTACAAAGTGTAATAGCTCTTATTTATGCCGCTTTGGATGTGATGTGATGTGATCTCATCCTGCACTCGGACGTTTCAGTCAAAAATACTCGTCAAACTCAAACTGGACGTTTAGCATACACCGAAACACGTTTTTTGGGAGGTAGACATGAATATGTTGCTTCCACAGCGATACATTTAGCAGACACGTGAAACACCATTCGTAGCTTCGAAATCATGGCATGACCGAAGAAAAGTAGACGCGTGCTCATCCGACCTTAGATTCATGAAACGTGTTCGCCGGGGGAAAGGAAGTGTGTTAGGAGATTAGCGAAAAACTTGCTAGGTGGACCTTGTTGTACCTTTTAGCCATATTGGATACATATGAATTCATTTGTAGATCCTGCTTGATTTATAGATATTTTTAAATTTTTAATGTAACTTTTTTTCTTCTGTCTGTATAAAAACAGTTTGTAGATTCACATTTTGTGTATTTACTCTTTGACTTTGAGTTATTTACTCGATATTTTTATTGGTACTTGTCTTCTATTACCATATATTTGAGATGACTTTTTGTTTTCTTGATTTCATTTCCCAAATTCTCTTGAATGTCAATCAATTCCCTGTTGATTTGTGGATTAATTTCAACGGGCGCAGTTCAGGGATTCCGTCAAATGTCACGCATGCTTTCCAATGAAGTCTTTGTCCGAAGATATTTCCGATTGGAAACAATTTTATCTTTTTCGGACAAGAAGTCTTCACTGAGGAATTCCTTCGGGCTCGTCTGCCTTAATCCGGATGATCTGCTGGTTCAGGCCCCTTGTATGATGTTGTTTTTTATTGAAGGCAACGGATCAGCGGAAATATTGTTTTGCGACAATTATCTTGGACGCTCGTGTACTCCCCGATGTTTGGCAGATTAGCCCGGATTAGCTTCTTGGTTTTAGCGTGGTGTCTTCTTGGAAGAACACATCAGAACAGAGAATGCTACTTATTGAATACAACACAACATTTAGCATGTGCATGAACACGTTAACCTACACAGGGAAGCAATGTTTGTCCAGCTGAATATGTAATTATTTATTTAATTAATATTTTGTTGATCAATGAAACAATTTTGTCCAGCTGATAGCATACAATTTTTTTCATTTATATATATTAGTTATTCTTTCATTTTAGATATTTTTAATGCACTTTTAATTTTATTATTATTATTTTTTTGTATATATTCACATAGGCAAGTTACTCCAACCAAGATTGGACTTTTAGCACATGCGTTTTATTTATTTAGTTATTTTTGGTGCTATTTTTTAACGATTTCAACTTAAATATATTTTGGGGAGTTTGTTTCATCATTTATTTGCATAGGACATTGCATTTATTAAATAGTTCCTTATGTTTATATAAACCGGTCTTGAAGCTTTACTTGGCACGCAAACAAGAAACTGAAAGCCAAGTTTTTGCTTCGACTCGTAAGCGGGTTAGTCCGTCCCAAACTTTTAACGTAGACTGTTGTCATTAGCTTGGTGGTGTGTGACGTTACGCGCGAGTGCATTTGTTGAAAAAAAGATTTGTTAAAGAGGGGAGGAGCCCACGACATCAAAGGCTCTCGGGCCAGCATCTCATCCCGCTGTGGTGTGACACGCGGCTGTCAACGGTGACCCCCGACGGATCCTCCTGCAGAGGCTCTCTCTGCTTCACCGCTTCCAATTAGATTCTCCCGAAGATTCTTTCAAACATGCGATTTGTTCCTTGGATACTTTTTTTTTTTTAACCCCTTACCACGCGCAGTATGAAAAAAAAAAGATGATATATCAAAAGTACTTGAGGTATTGGTATTCGGTACTCAATATTGAAGCTGTGTGCTGGTGAGACGGGTCTGGACTACTGGCAGTCCAGTCGAGTACTCGCACACAATGTTGTAACATTGTTAATTTTTATTTTTATTTTTTACTTTTTCATTTTATTGACTATTTTATCCGTTGTGTTATGATTTATTTCTAATTTCTTTTTTTTTTTTTGGAAAATGATCTTATTGAGTATTTTCTTTTTTTTGGTTTGTTTTGTTACTTTTGAAATTGTTTCTTGACTATTTTATGCATTGGCTACTTTAAATTGACTTTTTCCTTAGACGTTAAGGGCGTGTCAAGTAGCATACGTCCTGTCAGTGAAGCGACTTTGTGTTGTGGTTGTGCTGTGCTGTGGTAGGCAGAAGCAGACGGTGTACCCCGCCGTTCTGTCATCGTGCGGCTTCCGACAGTCCTTCCCCTCCAATCTTCCTGCCGCCTCGTCCTACACCAGGTACTGCGGCAGGTAGCCAGCTCCGCTGCGCCCGCCGCCTGCTACAAGACAAAAATATATATATCCCACCGCCCCCTCCCCCCTCCAAAGAAAATGCATGTCACCGCTCATCCGCTGAAGTGCATCCGTGTACGCTTTGATAGTCATTTCATTTCGCTTTCACTTTTTAAAGAAAGCCCAATGTGGCGCCAAGGCGCTTTATTTGTCGCAAGCGTCGCCTCTGTGTGCTGTTTTTGTTTTAGATCTGCATGAGGCCAGATGACTCGAGGGTTCATTACAAGTCAAAGCCTCTAAAATAAAAACAGATTTCAATCTGAAAATTCCTCCTTTAATCCAGTCAGTGCACTTTTGATGCGCCAACACGAGATAGTGAAAATGGTCGCGCTGATGTTAACGTGTCCTTCATGATTTTGTTGGGACAAATTGTAGTTGCTTGTGCGCTTAATTAAAAGCAAGCTGAATTATTAAAAAAATAATAATTTATTTAATTTTTCATTTTGGTAGTCTGATTTGCCACCTCATGCAGCTTAAAACAATTATTGTCATCTACTGATTTTGTGTTGTCTTTTTTTTTTTTTTTTTAGCTCATGCAGATTAAAAGAATATTTACTTTCCTTTGTGTTATGCGTTCATGAATAATTGATTTGTGCAGTTCCTCAATCATTTGTAAATTGTATTAACTTCAATCTTCGAGTGAGTAACTTATGCAGTTTTATTTTTATTTTGTATAACGTGTCCACTGCTTCATTGTGGTTGCCTCGCTCTCTGTACAAACTCCAAAGTGACAAACTTTGGCTAGCGCCCCCTCTAGTGGAGATACAGCATATTCCCTTCAAACATCTTGGTTCCGTCTCCACTGGAAAAATAAAAGTGGCCAAAATGAACCGAAAGCGGAACTAGATGTTGTTTGGACGGCAAATGATACATGTTGTCCTCTGTTGTTTGTTGTTTGAACAGCAAATGATACATGTTGTCTTCTGTTGTTTGTTGTTTACCTTCTTGTGTCACGCTACTTGGCTCAGTTGGTCTTTGGCTTCCATTATGATTGTTATTATCGGTATTGTTATTATTTTTTATTTTGATGATTGTTTTTTTATTTTATTTTTTTGTGGTCAGGTTCTCTCACTCACTGATGCTAGGCCCATCCGGCATGCACCCCACGGGCATCCCGCACCCTGCCATCGTGCCCCCTTCGGGCAAGCAGGAGCACGAGCATTACGACAGAGGCATGTATGCGTAAGTGCTAACAAACTCAAAGCTGAATTTGTACTTGGTAATTGTATTTTTTTTAATCTGCCTTCACTTAAAAACATATTTAAGAATGGCTTCAGCGTGAGCACCAGTGCCAACATAATTGTTCAGAGTGCCACATTTGAACTGAAGTAAACATTTTCAGAAGTCATACTCTGCATCTCTGTCCTTGGTTTGGCGACCACACTTATGTTCACAGACCAGCAAGAGCACTTCCACATGTTGTTAGCATTAGCATCGTGGCTAAACATCTTGCCTTTAACAAAATCTGCATCACAAATTGCCGTTTTCTTCCTTTCGCCGTTGCCTCATTCCTAAGTAAAGATTAGCGCGAATCTTTTGGGTGGTTCTCGCGTGGTGCGGCTTGCTAGCAATCAAACGGCTGTGAAATCGCGTTGCGGCTCTTCAACGCCACAACGGTAGACAAGAAAACAACACACAAGTCTCCATCTTCTTCTGCGCCGCGCAGGAAACCACACGTGGAGGCCAAACGGGAAAAGGAGCCCAAGAAGCCTGTCATCAAAAAGCCACTCAACGCCTTTATGCTCTACATGAAGGAGATGAGGGCCAAAGTCATCGCCGAGTGCACGCTCAAGGAGAGCGCCGCCATCAACCAGATACTCGGACGAAGGGTACGTACGCGCACGCACTAATATTTGCGATGACATCATTTACGTGTATGTATGTGGGTTTTTTTTTAAACAGTAATGTTTCTTCTGTCATTTCAAACAACAGCCCTATAGTCCTTTCCCTTGGTCTGCATGTGTGGTCGTCATGGTGATGGTGATTGCCATGTTTGATGCCCGTCATTGTGTGTGTGTGCGTGTGTAGTGGCACGCGCTGACGCGTGAGGAGCAGGCCAAGTACTACGAGTTGGCACGCAAGGAGAGACAACTGCACATGCAGCTCTACCCCACCTGGTCTGCACGTGACAACTACGTAAGACGCATCTTCAACACCACACTCATCTTCCTCACACGCACGCAAACACACACACACACACACACACACACACACACACGCACGGTGGCACAGCACGTGTTGCGCTAAGTGTGCTGTTGACCTGTTGCAGGAGGCGGCAGGCGAAAAGAGTAAAGCCGATTGGGTAGGGACTCGTCTTGTTTGTGCTGGGGGGGCGGGGCTAATACACCAGCATGCATGAAAGGAATTGGGTAATACCAACGACGGCCGCACGGCGTTCCCTCCGCATGCTTCCTTCCTCGCGAGGGGCGGCGGCGGCGGCTTGCATGCTGCTATGGTTACCAGCACACACCGTGACATCAGCGCCACGAGACCACTCACACACTGACAAAAATGATGATGTCATCACGCTCGCAAGGCGTTTTAATAGGGATGCCCGCGCTGGTTTGTCTAATGACGTCCAAGAACAAAAATCTCCTCATAATCACTTTTAATTATTTATTGAAAAAGAAAAGTTATTATTATTATTTTTTGTTTATGTTGTGCAAAAATTAATCTAATATTTTTTAACTGGGGAAAAAGTATGTAGTATTTTTTTCATTTTGATTTTTAATCGTTACTTATTTCACAACAAGAATGCATGAAGGTAAATAAAACATTTTGAAAATATGAATATTTAAAATTTAGTATAGTGCTAATTTTCAAATGTCATTTTTTTTTCTTCCTTGGTATTAGATTTTTGGGGGGGTAATTTAAAATTTAAATGAACTATTTCAAAAAAAATTTAAACACTATTCATTGTAATAAGAAATTTGTGATAAAATATTTAATATTAATGTAATATACCAGAACTGTGTGGAATGTAAAAGCCTGAAAATTGTTGTCCTAATTATACCCATCAAAACTTGCCCAAACAATTACCAAAAAATTCTGATCATTATCGTTTAAAAGTGAATTTCTTCAATAACGTGTCGTATTGGATGTCATTAGATTGCGTGAGTGTACCTAACAAAATGACCGGTGCGTGTCGTCCTGTAAACAAGCCAAAGTCGCTACAAACTTGACACATGCTAATTAGCATATGTGTGTTTTTAAACTCAATATTTAATAGTCGACTCTCATTATTTTTATTATCGTCCAGTGAATCACTTCATATCTGTCCTCCTGCAGGGAAAGAAGAAGAGGAGGAAAAGGGAGAAGCAGCAAGACTCCAACACAGGTACAAATACTAACGCTAAGCTAAGGCAATGCTAAGATTTGCAGTATCGCCACCTCACTCACGCATACATTAGACAATTGAACTAGCAGCAGAGCTGTCAGCTTGCTAGTTAGAGCAATGTAACTGCTAACTCGCTAATATAAGTACTATAGTGTATACAAATGTAGGTATTCTATGCTAATGCTATGCTAACGTTTCATTTTAAACATCGGTCACATTTATTCTTGAGCTCTGCTTTGATTTCTTGAATCTAAATTGAGCTAGCAGCCTAGCTTCTAGCCGACGTGCACTAGAAGCATAACCTCTAACCCTACTAGTGTGTGCAGCTAACACCTTGCTAGTACTAGCCAAATAGTCACGACCACGCTGCTTAGCCAGCTCATGGTTAGCATCATACCTGCTTAGGTCGTACTTAGCGTAAAAACACTCAGTGGCAAAGATTTGAGGTAAACAAGGATTTCTGAAGAATTGTTTTGGTCATTTCAAAATAAAGCGCAACTCTCTTTCCGTTCAAAATAAAAGTGTTTTTTTTTCACAGTACCTGTAAAAAAAAAAAAGGCATTTTTTTTTCCCCCAAATTGTTCCATTCCTGTTCTGTAGAAAAGGTACTAATTTGATCCAGCAATTTTCCCAGTCCCTGTTAGGTTAAATCCTTATTGAAGAGCTACATTTGCTTTCAACACATCATACTAGACGCTGGGTTCTGTGTCAAATGTCACACCCGATCTCGGCTTTTGGTTATTCCTTTTCACATGGTAAGATTGATAATATTCCTCAAACCTGCCACAAACAAAACAATTCTTATTATTATTGTTAGATACAGTGTTGCTGTGTGAAATGCCCCTACTCTGCTGGGTTACCATGTAAAATTCCAGATGTTCTGCAGCACTGCTGCTGCCTTTTCTAGAGGATATCTGTGTGAAAGGGGAAATCTGTCATATTGGACACTAACCTAACCTAATGTGGAATGCAGTGTTGCAAATTGAAATATTGCTTGGCTGAGTTTCTGCATAAAAGGCTCGATATATTTTGTTTTCCCTCTCTGCGTGAAAAGGTCTGACTAACTTGTGTGCGTTTGTGACTAACGTGTACCCCGCATGTCAACCGTTTTGATGCTTCTTCTTCTTCTTCTTGTGCGTCTTTGCCGCTCCTTTCGTCGTCGTCCCCCGTCTTCGTGCTGTTGCGGCTCAGAGCCTGGCTCCCCTAAGAAATGTCGAGCTCGCTTTGGCCTCAAGCAGCAGATAGATTGGTGCGGTCCCTGCAGGTGTGTAAACCACCCATCCTACCACCATGTGCACCACCTGATCCCCTGCCACCCCCCTTCTGAAACACAACAACTGTTAGCTTAGCACGTTAGCTTAACAAGTGCACTACTAACTTTGTTTCCACTAGTATTTGTGCTCACGGCGCACTAACACTTCTTGCCTTTACGATAAGCTAACTCTGCTCAGAAAGTCCGCCCATCTATTGAGTCTTTGGTAAGAAATATAAATGAGTTGCAGGTCCATGTTAGGAAATAAAGAAATAAATAAAGATATGCAGTCTAGTCATTTCCACATGGGTGTGTGTTGTACATGTGTGTTTTGTGTTGTATTTCTTTGGTTATTGACGTTGTGCCATTCGGGTTTATTCCCAGATAACTGTCTGTGACTGTCCTTAGGAGGAAGAAAAAGTGTGTTCGCTACCTTCAAGGAGGAGGCTGCGCGAGCCCAACTTGTTCACATTTAAGTGCCGTAGACTCCACGCCGCCGCCTTCGCCCGCCGCCCTCGCCCGCGGATCCCCTTTTCAACAACAACTACATCAGCGTCCCTGTCGCCCCCCTCCTGCCGCGGCCCTGGCCAAACGCAAGCTGTCAGCCACGTGACTCGCGTCGCTTGCTTTCATGGGTGACCAGGAGGAAAAAAAAACACAATTTAAAATTTGTACAGCAGGGAGTTGCCGTGTTTAAAAAAATAATAATAATAATATAGAAGTCCACACAAACACAAGTTTCTAGCCTAATAGCCATCGTGCTTAAGTTATTTTTTAGCATTTTCAACAACAAAAAGAAACTCCTTGCCTGGAGTCAACTTTTTGCGTTAACAAAAATTTTTAGCAAGCACATGAGCCTTTTGTATTCACATTGCAACAACAGGTTTGAAATGACTTAGGCAAATTAGGCAATTAGACTAACAGAATATTCTTTCAAAACACTTTTTCATCATTTTTGCGCATTTACAGGAAACCGATTTTTTTCGCTCTCTTTAAAAATGGTATCTGAATACAAGTAAGATTACAAGATTTAATTTGTTATTTTTGCAAAGACAAAGCAGAACTTTTTGTTTTTATCTTAAAAAGGATTGAATACATTTCAATCAGGAAACTTTAATGAGCATTTTTGTCTGGTTTCAGGACAAATTAAAGATCTTTTGTCCTAACATCTTTTTACAAAGGAAAACAATCTTTCTATTTAAAAACAACTATTATAATCAATAATACATGAACTAAATATATTTGTTGTGTGTTTCAGATGAAAATCTCACCATTTGTATTAGGTAACTTTCCAGTCTTTGTGTATTTTAGCAACTGAAATACCAGCAAGTCCCTTCTCACTCCGTTCCCCCTTTTCAGACTTTTAAAATCAATGTAAGGGGTTATGGCGCCCTCCGGTGGTTTGGCATGCACCACACACCCAAACTGCGTACTTGGAGCAGACACGAGGAACAAATGTGTTTGAAAAGAAATATTTAGTGTCTGTGTGGACTTTTAGAGCCATACATCGATTCTTCCTCCTCATAGTGTGCGATCAAATGTTTCAACTATTTTAGGCACTTTCACTCACTTTCATATTTTGTCCTGGCTTCTTTCAAAGGTCAGAAATTTTGCTGGTGGCCAAACCTGTGAGGGATTGCGATCTTTAATTTTTTTTTCCCCCTCTTTGTTTTGACTGAATATTTTGTCAACGATTTCAAAGACGACCAAATAGGTACTATTGTATTATGTGTTGTAAAATTTGTTTTTTTTCTATCAGTGTCAAGAAGGTCCTGTAGTTAATTAACTTGTGTAAGTTTATGGGGGGGTAGAAACATTTTTAGTCATGTCCGTACCTTAAAGCAATATTTTCAAGTGTTTTGTTATTGTTGCATTCACATAGCAAGTTCTCATTTCTGCGATGATGCTTTTAAATGTCCCACCAAAACACACCTGAACGCTGTCTTTTTTTTCATATCCATTTTATCAGTTCTTATGTTGATGTATTAAAATTGTTATATATACACATCTTGCACTTGTGTTATTTGTGAGTGCCAAAGAAATTAAAATAGTCTGAATAAAAATATGCAATAACAGAAAATCCAGCTTGACACAGCACTTACATTTAAATACAGTCGAAATCACAGGTTTGTAAAAAAATGTTGAATTTAAATGTGTTCTTTCCAGTTTGATAAAGTACTCTAAACACATTTAAAATACAGTATAAATATTTATTTTTATACGTTATACAGTACTTCCTCAAGATATGCATTTGAAATTTGTTGTGTCGCCTGATAATTGCGACGGCTGTGGCCTTCTTTTATTACGTCACCCAGCCCCATGTAAAACGTCACGAACGCACGTGTTGAGCGGGAATTGCAAACACGGAGGAGCAAAGTAAGTCACTACAGAATTTTGTTCCATTTTGAAGTGAAGCAACGTAATGTTAGTCTCTCTTGGCGCTGATGTGTATTAATTCTTCAGTTTGACCAGCAAGTACGTTAGCTTGTGAATGACATGCGAGAGCAATAGTGCAGTTCGCATGTCTGGACAAAATACGTCGTTTGTTTTCAGTTCACTTGTCTTTTTGCGGTCTTAAAGTTGTTGGATGTTTCATTTGTTGTATTATATCTGCTATTGAGGACACTGTGACCCCACTAGTCAAAACACGGTGTTCTGATTAATTTTGCCATTGTGGAATATGGATTAAGCAGAAGAGTTCAGATGTTTTCATCATCTCAGGGGCGGCCATTTCACTTCCACCTGCTGTCGACTGAATTGGACATCAACGCTGTCTGAGCTTGCGAATGTCACGTGACCAAACCCAGGAAACAGGTGAGCTCTGACTTCCACGTTAAACTAAAGCACTCAATTACAACAAAACCTATATGTTATGTTTATATTATTCATTTGTGTGTAAAATAAGTGTCATGCCGTGTCTCAGCAAATTGCTTTTGTGGCGATTAAAAAAACTGTATCGAAGTCGCACGAGTGGCGATGTCGCAAATTGTAGCCAATCAAAAGGAATCTTTCACACAGGTGAAAAATCGATTTCCGGGTTACAAGCGAGCACTGGCACACAGCCTCTCACCAAGTGCTGTCAACTGTGACAAATGCAGTAGATACAGTATAATATATAACAAAATATATATTTAAATACCATATTTATATATTTTTTGTGTATCTGTTAATGAAATAGTGAAGCTTGTGGTAAAAATATTCATGTACGGTGTACATTCCGCGGAGGTTACAATCAAATGATTGGGAGCAGCCACCCATTTTAATACAGTATAGCCCCTTTTTTTTGTCTTTATTCTTCCGTCATCTTCTGCGTCTTCCTTGACTGATACTTGTGGCCTGACACTGACAGAATTGTACTTGAATATTTACAAACACTTGTATTCCGCTGTGACATTTTAACCTAATTTTATTGGATTATGGAAAATGTCTTGATTTTCAAGTGATGCGTTTTTCATTACTTCTACATATATACAAAATGAATTTTGAAAAAAGTTAATAAATGTTAAAATGCAAATCCATTTTTTGCATGTAATTTTATTTAAATTAGTCTAGTTGTCACTATTTCCTTTTAACACAGGAAAATAAAGGAAGCCCATGCCATAGATCATGTCCTTATATAAGAATCCATGAAATGACTTTGTCCTATTGGAAGACAGAAACACCACCAAACTCAGTTTTTGAAACATTTTATTTCATCCTTTCATCACTGGTGCACATGTTGAAACCCACCTGAAAAACCTTTTATCGCTTCCCTTCCCACGCCCCTTTAATGTAAAGACCAACCTAACAGGCGACAATCATGTCTATAAAAAAAACCTAAACTGAAACCAACACATGGGGAGTCATCAAAAATGACTTTATAGACGACACAAGAAAGGAAATGGGGGGGGGCCTTATTTAAATAATGACACACGTGTTAAACATGTCATGCTAGTATTTTGTACACAGCTTGGAAGTGGAGAACTGGGGAGGAAGTGAACTTGACTGAACAGTACGGAAGTAAGCTATATAGTCAATATTAACAAAGTATGAACAAGACCAGTGCAAGCAATAAAGCGGACACATTTCTATTCTGTGTGTCTGTGTAGTTTTGGCCAGATGCTCTACTTCTCTTCGCACCACTGGTTCTCTTTGCGCACCTGCAGGGGGTGACAAATACAATCCATAAATGTTTAATTTGCAAGCATTGGCAAGTTTTTTTTTTTTTTTTGTGATCAGGCCAAAATCCAAAACTCCTTTGTAAAGTGAAGGTGCGAGTGTGTTGGCTTACCTGGGCTTCCTCCTCCTCCGTGAAGTCGTTCTTGATGTTGAAGGTCTTGCGGATCTCCTCGGGGGTTTTGCCTTTGATCATGTTGGCCACCGTCTTGCACGTCACGTCCAGCAGACCCTTGATGTCCAAGTAATTGGCCGCCTGACGCAATTGGGGGGGACATCAAAATATTAGCAACAGCTCTGGAAGTTGCTTGAATCACAATTGGAAAAAACATTTCCCACCAAATGAGTTTGTTAGACATGATTATTTGGCTTTGGTGGAGGTGTGCATGCTACTTGGTGACAGTTGTTTTTTTTTTTTTTATCTGAAAGTTAGAATTATAATTTTTGTTGATCAAAATAATGAGGAAAAAAACCCTCAAAATTTGGAGATGACAAAAAGAACATTATTTCCTTTCACTTTTTCAGCAGTCAATTTTATTCATTCTACAGATTTTATTTCAAGCTGAAAGAATTTTTTTTTTTAATCTAGGAAAAAAAGACAAATCGAGCCCTACTTTTTTGGGGGTGTGACGTGATACTTGTCCAACAGAATGGCGACACTTTTATTACTGGCGTCCCAAGGTGATAATTTTGGACATTTGTAAACAAGCATGTTCATGTTTCACTTGGTGGGTGGTGTCATTTGCCAGCAGCTCTTCTGTGACTTTGTACACATGCAGAGCAACCAATGAGAAAGCCGCCGTCCGGTCACATGACTGGGACATCACCCTGGCTGCTGCCGCTTACCAAAATAAGTTCGAATAGGGTCCCTTGGTCCACTTTGAGGAACTCCTGGTCCCACACGGGGATGTCGTCCGTCCTTTTCTCCTTGTTCTCGTCGTCCTCGGGGGGAGGGGGATCATCCTTGTGGTGGGTGCACCACTGGATCACCTGACATGCATACATATAAGATTTAAAAAACATCTAGTATACAAAGAGCGCAATTTATATTACATTTGGAAAAAAAATCATGACCTTGACACATTACCTTCTTAAGAATGGCCGCGTTGACGTTTGGGAGCGGCACCGGATCGTCATCCCCTTCGTCATCCATCCCCAAATCTGTCAACCCGCAAGTGGCGTTAACATGTCACACTCCTCCACTGTCATTTCAATGATAGTCAAAAGTGGAAATAAATGCTGGGGGCTGACCTTCTAACATGGTTTTGATGGTAACAGACTGTTTGGCTATTTCCACGTCCACCTCGAAGATTTCTCCATCTGAGCTCTGTAACTTTATTGTCGGCATTTCCTGAAACAAACACAAGGCCGCCTCAGAATTGTATCAACACTAATATTAGTGTGGGACAAAAAACTAATAGCTAAGCAACAGCATATTGTGCCGTGAAAAAGTATTTGCCCCCTTCCTGATTTCTGTGTTCTTTGCACATTTATCACACACAAACCTTTCAGTTCATCAGACCAATTTTAATATCACGCAAAGACAACCGAAGGAAATACAAAATGCAGTTTCTAAATGCCAATTTAATTTATTATGGCACAAAAAAAAAAAAATCCTAACCTACCTGTCCCAATGTGAAAAATAATTGCCCCCTGAACCTAACAGGTTGAGCCACCCCTTGGCAGCAATAAACTGATGGTTGGCCTTTCTCCTTCAGGATTTTCTGGTAGACGGCAGAATTCATTATCCCATCAATCACAGCAAGTTGTCTTGGTCCTGAGGTAGCAAAGCAGCCCCAGAGCATCACACTGCCACCACCATGCTTCACTGTTGGCGCCATGTTTTTAATCAAATCCTGTGCCATTTCTTCACTAGATGTGAGCGCCCGCACATCTTCCAAAAAGTTCAGTTGTTGACTCATCAGTCCACTGACTGTTTTTCCCGAAAGTCTTGAGGATTATCAAGATGCCTTTTGGCAAACAAGAGACAAGCCTTGCATTCTTTTTGGACAGCAGTGGCTTTCGCCTAGGAACTCTCCCACGGATGCCATTTTTGGCCAGTGTCTTTCTTATGGTCGTGTCATGAACACTGACCTGAACTGAGGCCAGTGAGGTCTGGAGTTCTTTGGATGTTGTTCTAGGTTCTTTTGCAATCTCCGGGATGAGTCGTTGGCGAACCCTTGGAGTAATTTTAGCTGGTCGGCCACTCCTGGGAAGGTTTGCCACTGTTCCCAGTTTCCTCCATTTGTGGATAATGGCTCTGATAGTGGTTCGCTGGAGCCCCAGAGTCTTGGAAATGGCTTTGTAACCTTTTCCGGACTGATGGATTTCAATAACTTTTTCTTTAATTTCTTCTTGAATTTCTTTGGATCGTGGCATGATGCGTTTGGTTCTTGAGATCTTGTGCCTACTTCACTTTGTCTGACAGATTCTATTTATGGGATTTCTTGATTCAACAAATGTGGTCCTAGGGTGCTGCCTGTGAAATTTAACTCCGCTTTCCCAAAACTGTCGTTAAGTCACGGTTACTGTGTGATTCAACAAGTGGGGGCAATTACTTATTCACATAGATCCAGATGGGTTTTAATTTTTTCACCCCTTGGTAAATGAAGTCATCATTTAGAAACTGCATTTTATATTTCCTTGGGTAGTCTCTGTGTGATACTAAAATGTAGTTGATGAACTGAAACGTTTCTTCTGTGTGATAAATCCGCAAAGAACAAGGAACTCAGGAAGGGGGCAAATACTTTTTTCACAGCTGCGTAACCTCCTGCAAAGGTTTTTTCTTTCCAACGTGTGATTGGTACGGTTTTTTTTTCCAGTTAAAATTAGCACAAACAAAATCGAGAACGTCATTTAAACATTTATGAGTGCAACAAGGCTCCAACTTGAGCAAAATTTAACGTTTAACGGCATTCTCGCTGAAGAATATCAACGATAAACGCCTGGCTGAAAACAACAGTTTAGCATCCTGCGTCGCCGATGATTCCCACGTGCCGGCTTTTATGCCGCTTTGACACGTTCAACTCGACTTAAATATGAAGATGAGGATCTCCATTTTTGTTACAATTATGCTACTTACTATAGAGAACCATATCCGTAAATGACATCAATAGTGCCGCTAGGCTAAGCTAACGTTGCCAAGCTAAATCACAAAGGCCCTCTCCGCAACCGCGAAGTAGGACGTGAACAGAGACGAAAAACAGACGAAAGTCGAGCCCTGATCGTGTCCGGCTTCCGAAATGAAACTTAAAACATACCGCGAATGTGTTTATTCCAAACCCGCGGGTGGAATTTGTCCTCTGTTGTCAGTTATTGGAGGAAAATGGAGAAGTCGTAGACGTTCAAGTGTGTGTGCAGCTATGGCGCTGGCTTTGTCAGTTACGTGGGGAGAGGGGAGGGGCGAATCGCTCGTCGGGGTTGTTTGTTTGTTTATTTATTTATTTATTTATTTTTAATTATTTTAATAAATGTTCATGAATAGTCAGTTTATTTTTTAATTATTTTAATTAGAACATTCACTATTTCCCCTAAATTAATAATAAAATTATGAAGAAAAGGTTAAGTATGTTTACGAGGAGGGTTCGTGAATAGATTCCGTGTGGCAACAAAGCTGATTATGAACTTGAGTTCTGGAATTTATTTTAGTGGATCTTTGGCATGCCTGTGCTATCTTATTTGTAAAACACAAATTAACTTTCACCTGATCAACATTAATTAGTTTGTAATGATTATGAACTGGAGTAAATAATTTTCAATATTTTGATGACCATTTTTTAAGCTCCATGACAGGTGCATATTTTATTTAAACTAGATTCACATGAAAATACCACAAAGGTAAAAAATAGCGTACAAAAATTATATATGTGACTTTGGTATTTTTAATCACAATTACAAGCCTTTCTTCCCTAATTGGCTGGAAGAAGGCGGCCTTCAGGTGCAGCATCCATTTTCACTCAAATTAAGTGACAGAGTATGCTATGCTGTAAATTAATTCGCTCATTGAAATACATTTTATCTTCAATATTTTTTGTCATATTCCACTATTAAGTTGGTTACCTCTTTTGCAGCTTGACTGGGAGAACTCATGGGAGTTCTACTTAGCATGTGGCATTCATTTTGGCTCAAATTGAAACTACATTCACACAAAATAATCCTACCGCCCCACTTGAACGATAAATCTTTCATACATCATATTTGATGAAACTTGAATTATAATTTTCATTTTCTGCTGATTGGCTGAGAGAGGTCACACAGTTCTACTTTGCTGTGACGCCCATTTCTGCTCAAGTTCAACAAAATACACTAAAATATTTGTAAAATGTGTCAAATTGTTCAGAGGTCAAACAAACATGAATACCATGATGAAATATCCCACAAAAGTAGACGAATTAAACTGCCATGTCATGAAGGAGCCACCTTTATTATTATTGTTCACGTCTGTTAATATGAGCTTGTGGTTCAGTGCGTTGATGATCTTTACACACACATGCACACCTTCACGCATTCGACAAGACACCTCATGTAAAACCTTCTTGTTTCCGGGACTTTTTTTTTTTTTGTAATAAAAAGAAAACAAAATGTAAATATTCTCTTCATCATTTTATGTTACATTTCTCAAGATTTACAAAAGTGCAAACGGATCTTCCCATCTTCTCAATATATGTTTGTAAATGTGTGTTGATATACTGAATTTTCTCTGTTGTCAGTCCTAACCATCAAGTGAACTTGATTGATCGATTTTTCTGGGCGCGAAATTTCCTAATATAAGACAAGTCCTCAACAACCCATCATGTGTCGATTTATGGCACACCGTTTGGTCCGTCCACAGACATGTACGCGCGCACACATACACACACACACATTTCTTGCTAAATGCTTAAATAGGTCTTTGTGTGAATGTACAATGTGTGCTGCTGCTGCTGCTGTTTCTTCCATTATATGGCAACACTGGACTTGACTGTACAAGAGGGATGGACTTTCAAAGCCGGTTACAGGAAGTAGTCTGGGGTGCGGCGGGTGACGTGGGGCTCCCCTCTGCGAGGTGCCGGGTCAAACTGCAAGCTATTTGGGGGCAGAAAGTATTCATAATTTTAAAAAAGAAAGAGGAAAAAAAACTGCTGGATGTAAAGAGGTTTTGGAGGACGCGTTCACGACACTTACAAGGAGTATTTGAGGGTGTCGTCCAGCTCCATGATGGCCGCTTGGTTGCCGCAGCGATAGCAGTAATTGGGAGCGCTGAATATCGTCACCACGTTCCTTTCGTGGCACCAGTTGTAGCCCTGGGAGCAAACGCGAGTGTACGGTTAGTGTCCGCGCTAATGTGATCACTTGTAGTCAAGTCTCCTGAAAAATAGAGCAGCTGCCAAGATTGGCATTTCTAGACTCGCCTCCATGACCAGCTGGTGGGCGCGGGAGACCAGCGTGAGGCGGTTGGCATGGTTGAATGTCTCCGAGATGTCCTGGCCGAAGGTGTAGCCGGCCCCCCGCGGGGAGATGCCCCAACCGCCGCGGTCGTCGGGGTCCGACCACAGCAGGTCGCACATGGGACCCTAAGAGATGTATTCATTTAGGCCCCCTAAAAAATATTTTTAAAATATAGAAATTATTCAATTCTTTTTACCTCATGAGGCACTTCCTGTAAGCGATCCAGCGCCCTGATATGGTCCAGTGTGTCAATGGATGGTGACAAACCACCATGAAGACAAAAAATCTGTAAAAGTATCAGTTTTTGAGTATCATTTCTACTTTTTTTTCCCCCCCAGCATGAACGAATGGATCTCTCCCACTAATTCACCTGAGAGTCGACCAAGGCGGTGAGCGGAAGGTAATCGAAGAGGTCAGTGAAGTACTTCCACACGTTGGCGTTGCCGTACTTGCGCAGACACTCGTCGTAGAAACCGTACACTTGCGTGATTTGTCTGCTCTCGTGGTTGCCACGCAGGATGGTGATGCGCTCCCGGAAACGAACCTAGTCAACAAGCAAGTTTAGAACATGCTACCAACACCGACAAAAAAAAATAAATAAAATAAATACACTGACCAAAGTATTACACAAAGGCTACCTTAAGTGCTACAAGTAAAGTGACCGTCTCCACGGAGTAGTAACCCCGGTCCACGTAGTCGCCCATGAACAGGTAGTTTGTGTCGGGAGATCTGCCGCCGATCTTGAACAGCTCCATGAGGTCATGGAACTGGCCGTGAACGTCGCCGCACACCGTCACGGGGCATCGCACCTCCTGCACGTTGGACTCCTTGGTCAGGATCTCCTTGGCCTAAATAAATCGACAAGCCTGATAAGTTACTTTTGTTGTGGGTCAGTTAGCGACTAAACCGCTGGCCTCGTAGCATAACTGTTCCAAGTTAAGAAGTTGGAAGCTATTTTAGAAGCACGCACTAGCGCCACCTAAAGGATAGAAGCACATATTCTAGCACATCATGGGTTTTCCAACTATGACGAGTCAGACGGACATGTTTGCACCGTTGTGGTTTTTTTTGCGGAGGTCCACATCTTTATTCAATGCACAAGCCAGTAGAACATCATAGCTGCGACATCTCCATCGAAATTCAAGTGTGTGTGTGCGCGTGTCCTCGTTTCTGTAAAATCAATTAGTGCAGTGGTCCAGGAAACACAGTCGCTAGACTTTTTAGTTGGCGCACCTCATATTAGTCCTGCAGGACAAGTCGGGAGGATCATTAAAGCGACCGAGCTTTCAAAACCAAAAGCACCACTGTCACAAGCGCTTTTTACCAACTCGGTTCGTCTTTTGAAATATTCATTGCGTATCTTAAGGAGAGGATAAATTAACAACTATTCCACATAGAGTGATACCATTCATGACAAAATGAGGTCACTGCGTAGTAGTTCGCTAAATTCATCAGGTTTGTGGAAAAGAGAATTTGTCCAAATAGGTCAACATCGAATTGATGTTGACAAAATGCTCGAGTTGGCCTGTCGCCAGGGCAGATGGGAGAGCCCTGCACGTTGTTGACCTAAATTTGACACACACATACCCATGCTAACATGCTGCGAAAGAGTAAATATTATCTCATCTCTTCTGAAGTTATCAGTTGATAAAAAAGCACAGTAACAGTCCATGAACTTACCCCTCTTTTGTGATCTAATTTTTTTTGGGGTGTGGGTGTGTTTTTATACCCTATGCCGTCTAATGTGGGCAGAGCTGACGTTTAGGCCGTATTATAAAAAATGGCATCAAAAGTCGCCTTGGAGTTGGACGCATCAACCATTTTAACCCTTAAAAAATAATAATAAAGAAAAAAAAACACTTAAGTGTCCCGCCGAAAAGCGAAGTCAGCACTTTTCCTGCCAACCATTTTAACCCTTAAAAAAAATAAAGAAAAAAAAACACTTATGTGTCCCGCCGAAAAGCGAAGTCAGCACTTTTCCTGGCCACAAACATAATCCCATTAAAGGCACCTTTACGTGGCCAAAGGTCCTCGCGTCGGAACGAGCCGGGGCGAGTTCAGCTTTACAACCACAGAGGATGACTTCACTCGAAGCTGTTGCCTGATGGCCCTTTGAGGTTGAGGGGAAGAAGCAGCGCAGTCAGCTGGTTTTGACCGCCGTGCGTCGTGATGCCTCTGAATTAACCCTTGCGTCGGCTATTTTGGTTTGCCTTTGCCCGCTATGATTAAACAAGTGTGGAAATAGTGACACGCATCAACAGAAACCAAACAGTGCGTCACAATGCCAAAACTGGTCCTGTGGAATACCTTGAAAACATGACATGCGGGCACACCTTCGATGAGCTCATCGCGCGTCGAGGAAAGCATTCCCAGCGGTTGCCCCAGCAACGCAAACAGAGCGAGTGAGTCCACAGGGACAAATCAAGTTGAGGTAGACTAAAGATTTAAGGGCTCAAATGTCACGGGGAAAGCTCCACGTGGCAACAGCTAGCAGAAAAATCTCTTAAAAACGCGCATTTTCCTCAAGGAATTCCCAACAAAAAGTCCGAACAAAAGCAGCGGCTAATCCTTTTCATGTTCGCATGCGCGGGCCGAGTGAAATGCGTCAGCACGTGGAAATCTGTTTCAAAACATCCGTCAAAGTAGTGCTCATGTTAGCATCATACCAAGTTTGGCAGCTCGAGGAACGTCACGCCATCCACGTTGCACAATCCAATAATTTTTTGGTTGAAAGTCGGAAGTAGGAAGGTACCAACATGCTAACTTTGGCACTTTGGGGAGTCTCACTGCATCCATGTTCCATCATAGGTAATGTGGCAACAGCGAGCAGAAAATCTTTTAAAAACACGCATTTTCCTCAAGGAATTCCCAACAAAAAGTCCGAACAAAAGCAGCGGCTAATCCTTTTCATGTTCGCATGCGCGGGCCGAGTGAAATGCGTCAGCACGTGGAAATCTGTTTCAAAACATCCGTCAAAGTAGTGCTCATGTTAGCATCATACCAAGTTTGGCAGCTCGAGGAACGTCACGCCATCCACGTTGCACAATCCAATAATTTTTTGGTTGAAAGTCGGAAGTAGGAAGGTACCAACATGCTAACTTTGGCACTTTGGGTAGTCTCACTGCATCCATGTTCCATCATAGGTACAGTCAGACATTTTCAAAATGTTGCAAAAAAAAAAAACGTCATGAGATAACTTTGCTGTTAATTTCGCCTGCGGTGGGGAATTGTTTTAGGCACAATCATGTCTATTAAGTTTGATTTGAAATGCAGCAAAATCCACCCCCACAGCCCATTTAGGCAGCGAGGCGAGCAATTAGGCCTGAAAGAAATGTGCATCTTTTGTGATCTTCATTCGCCCAAATTGCTTTCAAGACGCGGCCCGGTGTTCCAGTGGTTAGCACATCGACCTCACAGCGCAGAGGTCGTGGGTTCGATCCCGGCTCCGGCCTTCCTGTGTGGAGTTGTTCTCCCCAAGCCTGCGTGGGTTTTCTCTGGGTACTCCGGTTCCCTCCCACATTTAAAAAACATGCATGGCAGGCTGATTGAACACTCTAAATTGTCCCTAGGTGTGAGTGTGAGTGTGGATGGTTGTTTGTCTCTGTGTGCCCTGCGATTGGCTGGCAACCGGTTCAGGATGTGACCCGCCTACTGCCCGAAGACCGCTGGGATAGGCTCTAGCACCCCCCGCGAACCTTGGGAGGTTAAGCTGATCGGAAAATGGATGGAGGGATGGATGCTTTGAAGACGATGCCGTCTATACAACACAACGAGGCTGAAATAAAAGCTCTTGTCGTTCCCATCCTCCTCCTCCTCGACGTCCTCCATAAATCCCAAAACAGAGCCGTTTACTCATGATTCACTGCATTCTCCTGAGTCACGCTCCTCATCTTTTTCCGGCAACAAAAAGGCTTCGACATCGATCAATCGAATCCTCCCACATTTATTTTTTTTTTAAGCAGCTGGGAGGATGCGGCGTGCGGTGCCAAATTGACATAGCGTGCGCCTACAATGGTGTTCATGAGGGGTCGGTGCTGATGGCGGTCAAGCTGTAGTTCAGAACCAAGGTCAGCAGAACTGTCGGGCCTGTTCCTTGAGTGAGGGTCAATGCAAAATGGAAGCTCTCAACAGCATGACTATCAATGACTTAACAGCCCCCGTAACGTCCAGTTGCTGCTTCAGCAACAAGCCTGCGTTTAAAAGGTCAAAGCTGCGCTGCAGCGTAAACAACTCTGCAGGATGCCAAGTAACCAAGCAAGAGCAGATCAATCCCGACAGGAATTCAAAAATAAACTACACCTCAATTTATGATTTATTTTAAAGGCACTTCAAAAAAAAATACAAGCGTCTATAAGAGAATGCGTGATGGACAAATTAATTATAGCGTTTCCCCACGATGACAAACTTTAAACAAAATCATCAAACACAATTAAAAATGGCAACGGCAAACCAAAACGGTCAACTTCGTGTTCATTTTTGTTTGTTTTGACTCTTAAAATGTGAACATTTTTGACAACGTCTATAAGAGAATGTGTGATGGACAAATTAATTATAGCGTTTCCCCAGGATGACAAACTTTAAACAAAATCATCAAACGCAATTAAAAATAGCAACGGCAAACCAAAACGGTCAACTTCCTGTTCATTTTTTGTTTTGACTCTTAAAATGTGAACATTTTTGACAGAACTGCAACGTTTCATGTCGACTAACTGCAGTAAAATCCACCAAGAAATGGCAATGCTTATTATTAAGCATTAATACAAGTGGGGGGCGGGGGGATCATATTATGATGACCCTCAAAGCAGAGACATTCATCAGGAACCTGTCGCTTAAAGGGAAGAAGGGAATTCAAAGGGATGATGACGGAAAGCGTTGAAGGGGCGTAGTTTGCCGCTTGTTCGTTAGTTGTGTTATAGAGAGTAAAGACACAAGACTTGCCTACACTTCAATCCCTGAGATTCAAGTGCACAGCATTTCATCGCCAAACCACCAAATTACATTTGTAAACCACCGTTATGCCACACATGCTGCGCTTTCTCCATCCCCAAAGCTAATGGTGCCTATCATTTCCCTCAGCTCCGTTTACCCTTTTGGCTTTGACATTCCAGCACTTCAGGTGGATTGAAAGTGTCTCTTTCCTTCTGGAACCTCATATTGCCTGGCTGTCAAGTTATCTGAGAAACCGTATTGTGCTGTTTGGTATGTTAATTAGTCCCAATGTTTCGTCACAGTGGGGCGGAATGGCTTGCTCACAGGCAAGAGTATCTGAAATCGGAGGCTTCGATAAAAACTGAATGCAAACATGTAGCAATGAAAAAAATAAAACCCGAATGGGTGTCCGCCTTTCACTCCACACAACATCCAGGAGTTGCAGTCGAACCACAGCGGTCCTTCGAGGTCACATCTGGCGGACGGAAGAGATACCGGGTCCCATGCGAAAGGACGCTCATAGACGCGCAGGGCGCCTCCGCGCACACACAACCAACACGCTGGCCATCCGACGGGGCTCATGAAGCCACCCGTCGAGGCACGTCGCCTGGGTAGGCACGGTGAAATATAAATCTAAGACGCCATTTTAAGAACGTGTGTGTGTGTAAGGCAGCAGGCGGCGACGAGCGAAAAGACGTCCGTGGCGGAACGAACTACACGAGGGGTGTCAAGACAAATAACTGACCTTTTCGCACAAATTCTTCACTTGCCCCTCCGTGAGCTGTTTGCATTCGTTCAGCTGCTCGATCCATTGATCCAGCTCCTTCGTAAAAACATTTTCGTCCATTTTCTGTTTATGTTGAAGCGCGGGGGAATAGGTTTAGGAGGGGGGGGTTGCGGCGTCGGGTGTTCTAGGCTTTTCTGCCGCAGATGAGCAGACTGCGACAGCGACTAACAGTCGCTCGTTCGTCGGCACAGTTGGCGTCGACGTCGCTCCCCGCCTCTCCCCGACGTCAGGGGCCGACACTTACTGGGCTCAATTAAAAGCGCGTCGAGGAGGGAGAGAGGAGAAGACGTCAGCCGGAGATCGACCCTGCCTACTCATGTCTGTACGTCCGGGTTTGAGCGTCAAAATAAAAGCAGTTCGAGCAGTTTTGTTTGACGCATTCCGGCGTTTGTTTCAGTATTTCCAAACACAACAAGCCTCGGTTGGGACATTTTCCCCTGGCCGATTAATAGTTTATATCCGAGTCTTGGCTGTGATGTTTCCTGTCATGAACTAGCCTTGCCTTGCCAAGCCCAGCCTTCCATCTGACTATGTTTTGATTCACAAAAACCACAGCAGGGGCATCACTATTTTTGAGCAATGATCATTTCCTCTGGTTTGGACGGTTAAATGCAAACTGAATGCGCAAATCTGAAGCTGCATGCAAGTATGACCACTCTTGTTATTGCTCATGTCATCAATTGTGGCCTCTTCCAAGTTTGTGTCAGTCCTTAAGGGAATAGCACTAACTGAATATCCCCGCAGGGCCTGCACAGCTGGTTGATAAATATTCATGGTCGATAATATAGTTTTCTTCTGAACCTGCTTTGTCACAGGAGTTGTGTTTTAGGTTTCCCCCCTTTGGTTACACAGTGTTAATCATTCAGGAGTTAAACTAAAGTGACCTACTTTACAGTCGGTTAGAACAAAACTGTTCAGCCCACATTTACGCAAAGACCCTTTCACCCACAAACCCATTTTACGTGTTATGCAACAGTGGTGCTTATTCGGTGTCTTCATGTGGTAGAATTATATTCAGATGGAGGAGTCGCGTCGCTTGAGATTGATCCAAGATACGCATCCTAGCTTTATTTGAGCCTCGCAATGCAAACTCAGCCACTTGCGATCAAAGACACTGAGGCACGAGTGCCAAGTGTATGACTTCATTAATAATCCTAAATGAAAGCCGCCGGGCTCCTTTGTTATTGTTCGTGAAACAAAGCGAGATTACAGCTTGACAAATGGCAGCTATAATAAATGAAGTCATTTTATTTTAAAGGCCCATACAATTCTCAATAAATACAATACTCTACCATGAAGTGAGTCTCTCTCTGTGAGCACTTTTAAGATGAAACCCTCCTGACGGTCCTTGCAGACTTTGGTCTGCTCGTTTGATCTCCAGTGATGACAAACCAAAGCTAAAATTCTCTCCCTGTACACAACCGTGTTGACATGTTGACTATGATTACATCACAGTCAGGGGACAAAAGAATACGTTTGGCTTCATCTAAAATAACTCAACAGTCAGCTGCTGCACGGCAGACACGACGCTGTCATCACCATGACCAATCAATGGCCACAATGTTATTGTGCTCATAGAAGCTAATTCAGGAACAGAGCCTGGATTTAAATTCTCCCCGTGGATAAGAAACATTTAACTCTAAGTGATCAGGTAACACTATCATGCGTGTTTGTCTTGGTTAGCTTAGCCTGTTCCATCCTGTCCAAGCCTTTCGTATCCTAGCCACCCGTAATTTGTCCTGGCCTTATCCTGTCATGTTTTTCCTTAAATTATCCTAGCCCCATCTCATCAATTATCTGATCATATATCATATCTTGTCTTGTCCTTTGATGCCCTTTTCTAAATGATCTTAGCCTATCCTAGGTTTTCCCAGTCTAGGCTATCCTATCCTCGGTCTTGCCGATGTTGTTATGCCCTATAGTTGGTGTCCTGTCTTGTTTACAGGCTAGCCTAAAAATCCAGCCTATCCTTGCAAAGGTGAACACTGTTTGTTTTGTATGCTTTGTAGCCACTTGAGCATGTACAACAGTAATAAACATTTGAACAGACTTCCATAAACACAACTGAATATCGTTTTACTTGTCATAAGTACATTTTATTCCCTGTTTTTGTTCTGTGAGCTCCCTGGTGTTCTTCGTGAAATGCTCGAGTCTAATTATAGCAGAGGAGTCTTAAAACAAAAAGGGGAGGGAGCACGAACCTCTATCTCTTTCTCTCCTCTCTTTTCTCCCCAATTAGGAGGCAGCCCTTCATCTCAGGAAACCTGAAACCATGACAACAGCCGGTTACTATTTCCATCCTGGCCCAGAGCGCCACCTGCTGCAGAATACCAGGAAGTGCCCCCAGCCCTCTCATGTGCCAGGGCAGGCGAGGACTGGGTTTATTATGGAGGTAGTGCAGGTTAGTCCGTGCCGTTTTGAAAATGTACAATTTTATTCTGGTGGTAATTTAATTCACAATTTAATCCTGGTTTTATAAATTGTAATTACTGGAGTAACCGTAATGGTGTGAGCTTCTAGGCGTGAGATGTCATAAACAGCAGCTCCTCCTAAGTGTATTTGCGATGGATCAAAACTCAAAGTCAAAAGTTGAGAAACAACAAAAGGATTTTTTTTCTCCACTATCTGATCTGAGCAGAGCATGGCATCAAATTTTGACCATTTCGAGGATTTGCCATGAAAAAGGTGAATCTCGGGGTCTATTCATGGTAAAAGACTCCCCCATCACCGGTTTCACCAATTGACACAAAGTTCAGCTTGGGCTACATGTCTGTCATAATAGGATGCGTAAAACTGGAACCAAATTTTACTGGACGTCGACATTTGGGGGGGATTCAAGGGGTCCTGCTATGATATCCTCCTACGGAAGGAAACACCCCCAGTGAATGGTTGAAATGGGGCATTTTCAGTGTTGTAACCAGGTGGATCCAGCAGATAGATTTATACATACTGACCACCTTTGAGGGAAGATGACATGGGGGGGGGGGGAGGGGGCTGCAGTGAAAGCTCCAGCAAATATAACTGTCGTTTAATCTGTCTTAATCGTTCCCTCGATGGCGTTTCAGGCTATCAATAGAAAGGCGAGGCGTAGAGCATGGCGAGAATGCAAGTCACATGGAGAGGAGCTTGTCATTTGAACCTTCAGAGTTCCACGAAGTCCGAAATGAGTTCAAACTATTGCCCACTGTCATAACCGATGGAGAAGAAGGAGGCATTTCAGCCGTCTGTGGAGGAGTGAAATTTTAATTCTAAAAACAATGCTAATGACAAAGCAAGACAGTGATGGCAAATTAGCCTCGTGCGTAACAGAACGCTCAATCCTCTCAGTCGCCACACATTTAAACTCCAGGTTTGACATGGACATTTCCAACATTTGTATCTTCCCCCGGTGCTCTAGGTGGCGGTAATGCTCATTATGAAGTGGGTGTCAAAGCCACAGGGTAGCCATCTAACGTTGCCATTATTACAGTCAACTATCTTTTTTTTTCCTGAAAACTTTTATCAGTGCATTTTACGCCATGATCTCTGCATGGAGTAACGAGAGCCTTGCAAAGTACCAACTTCAGTAGCTGCATCGACCATTCAGAGTATATGATCTCAGTACAGTATCGTGAAAAGTGACTGATGTTACAGTTATCTTTCGCAGTGAATATTTTCCTGATGAGATTTGCTTGCATTCATTGTTCATGGTTTTGAGAACATGATGTGGGTAAATCTTTTAGTAGCACTCAGAGATATATTTTACGGCATTCCCATCGGAGAAATTTGAGTTGGGCACGCCTGGAGATTGGCAACGCAAGATGGCTGCCGGTGACTTCAGTTCTCGCTACGACGAGTAGGTGGCATTGTGGGTACGGGTTATTTTTAGACGTCCATGTTTTTTAACCGATTTGATCTGCCGGATCAAATGTCTTTTTTCTTTGTGTAATTGTAACGAATTTATGAAACGCTATTTTCCTGAAATGATCAATGAGGGGCCCAGGGGCGAATGTCTACGATTCAAATCACCCTCAAACCATACAACCCATGACTTTTTGCATAAATCATGTCCTGATCACCGATCTTGTTGTGGGCTCTTAACGTGCTCATTGCACACTGTTACATGGCCACGTGTGCGTCATTAAAGGGGCAGGGCCTCTGCTGGTGAGCTCCGTCAGTCAGTGACGTCATCACATGGAGTAAGCCTGCCAGACGCTTGTTTTGAGGGAGAGAGAAAGACAGTGGAGGAAAAAAAGAACAAGAGAAAGGGGGGCTCCAAGCGGAAGAAAAGCACCGCTCGTCAATCGATTGATGCGCCTGCTTTCCTTGTACATACATTTTTATTTTTTAAATTTGAAATAATGTCCACCCCGGCGAGGAGACGGCTTATGAGGGATTTTAAAAGGTACCGCAGTCCGTCCTTTCTCTTACTATGTGTGCGTGTGTGTGCGTGCTAACAGGGTTAGCAGATTGGAGCTAATGCCAGCTAAGTTAGCTTAGCTTGAGCTACCGGCGAACAGACCGAACGCAGGCTGTGTTTAAGCTCATCGGATGTCTATTTAGGCGATATACTTCGGCATTGCGGTGACACTTTTGACAAATTATCCACCCAATTCCAACCAAAGGGAGCCATTTAGCGTACGCCGTTAATTAGCGTTGGTGTGCCAGGCTGTTGTTTTTTTGTGGGGGTGATGAGATTAAAGGAACAACCAACCGAAACCTGTTTAATTGCTTGTGAAAGCAACAACATGGAATTATGTGGGCCATCCTGCTCGAGCACAAGTAGCATTCGATGGCACGGCATTAAATGTTAATGCGAATTTGGGTAGCAGTGTGGCTTTGAGGATAGATTTTCTGAGGGGTTTGTGCTTTTAAAATGGCTGAGAGTGGCAATGATTGTTGTATGGGTGGTATCTCCAACCACAATCTGTTGCCATACGCCGAGTGTCATCTGTATGTGTGTGTGTGTGTGTGTGTGTGTGTGTGTGTGTGTGTGTGTGTGTGTGTGTGTGTGTGTACAAATGCCAATTTGGGCCGAAATGTGGCGCACAGGTGAGTGTTTGTGTTTTTAAAATGGCTGAGTGTCAATGCTTGTTTCACACCTGCACCATCCTTGTGTTTGTGTTAAGTCAGGTGTATTTGTATATACCCTAATCACAAAAGAGTCTCGAAGGGCTTCACAGACAGGCAACATCCTCTGATCTACTATCAACCCCCTGGGCACACACACAGACCTGTCTTGGAAAAACTCAAAACTTCAATTTGGGGACAGGAGGAAACCTTGAGAAGAGACCATAGATGGAAACATCCCCCTTCCAGAATTGCCAGGCTGCAATGGATGCCGAGTGAGCAAAATGTATCACATAGTATGGTGCTGTACAGTCTTAGTTGAAACAGCATAAGAATCCATGTAACAAGATGGAGCGCAGCAGTTTAGATGCCTTTTGCAAGGTGTTTCTTTGTCACAATCTGACCCGGTCAGTCGATGCAGAATCCTCCATAGCAACGCCTCCCGGGAAAGTGATCCACCAAAGATGTTGTCCCGGTCAGTCGTCACAGAAGCCATACAGCAGCAGCCTCAGATTTCATCATCGCTTCCTTGCCCCCTCTCAAACTAGTAGCTGAGGGGGAAGGAGAGTGGAGAGGTGGCAGTAAAACAGGACAACAAGCAAAGGTCAGGGGTCAGGGAAAGCACGAGGCAGCTTTCATACTATGTATGAGTTAATGTTAAACTGCATTGGCTGCCCAGCCTCCTTCCTAAATAATGTTGTATTTGTCCTATTTAAATTTAGTTTATAGGGTAAGTGATGTCATGCATAATGGAGCCCCTCTCGAAAATTTTCAGCCAATCGGAGAAGGGACTTGCCCGAGAAGCCAGTGAAACAAAAGCATTAGCCAATCGCTGAGCTAACCGGGTTCAGTTTTCGCACATGGTGGCATCAATGTATTTTTACACATCATGACAGTGGTGTCCCCACAATGTGCAATCTGCTGCCGTCTTCCATCTGTTGTCAATGTGTGTGTGTTGTGTTGTGAAAATGCTGCAGTATTGTGGAAGGCTGCTGGGGCAGGAGGACACCAGATAAGGTGTCGTGTAACCCTACGCTTGTCCCCAGGTGCTAAAGCATGTACTGCTCAAGCCCGGTCAACAATGGCAACATCAGCTGTGTGTGTGGGTTCGGGTGGGGGTGGGGGTTCTTCCCCCAAAAAATGTTTCCAAGAAAAATACAAATTTATTCTCGTAAGAACTTTTTTGTTTTAGAAAAGATATAATACACGTTTAAAATTGAAAATGTCTAATTCTCTCTGAAATAATTTTTTTTTTTAATCTCGGCCTGCAAAAATACAGCCTTATTTCTCCAGCAATTTCTTTCTTGAAAAATCCAACTTAATTTGCAACTTTTTATTTAAAAAAAATTTAATTCTTGAATTTTTTTCAGGCCACAACCCCCCAACTTTTTTTAATACCCACGACAACATTATTGTGAAACGTCACAACATCTAGAAAAACGTCCAGCTCTGCTTTTGGCGTGATGTCACATTTGACATTTCCATTCTGCTAAGACATCAAAAATCAGATACGGAAAAACATACATCTTACCCAATTGATTTGATGGTTTATCTCCCAATATTTTGCCTACGAAAGGATTTCCCGACCAAGCCTTGGTTTTTTTTTTTTATTTCGTTTTTATTTTATTTTTTTTTATTTATTTTTTTTTTTTCTGTTTTTTTTGGGACCAAGTCACAACTGTCAAAACATCGAGAAGTGTTGAACGGAGCAGAGAAGATCTCGGGGGAGCTTACGGTTAATGAGGTTAATTGCAATGCGTTGGTGTTCGCACACACGGGTGCGCGCACACACTCACACACACACAGATGGAGTTGGCGTGCAAGGTCTGATCAGAGCTGATATTAGGCCGACACCTGCCCTAAGCTGTGGTGTTGCCATGGCAACCAAACATGAAGTTTGGCATAAGATTTTTTTTTTTTTGTTCCACAGTGTTACTTCTTTTGTAGAAACACAATGTTATTCAACAGAAAGAAATGAATTCTCATTAGATGATAACTTGCTTTGCAGGGGGGTGGGACGTTCTTGTAAATTAGGACTATTTTGTGAATATACAACCTTTCAATAGAAAAATGTTCCTTTTTTTTTCAAAGAAATACAACTTGAATGGACGTTTTCCTCTGGTCAGATTGCTACCTTTTTCGTGATTAAAATTAGGGCTGCGTGAGATCGGAAGAACGTGTGACACGGGGTGGTGAATATCCCTTGCGATATTGATAATGCGATATTTGACAGGTACCTGAAGATTTTTTTCCCCATGGAAAAAAAATAAGCAAGAGTTGGACATCTTTTGTTTTTTTCTTTGAAAAATAATCTTTTGTTTGTCCTGTGCAGACTTCAAGAGGACCCTCCTACCGGTGTGAGCGGAGCGCCATCGGAGAACAATATCATGCTTTGGAACGCTGTTATTTTTGGGTGAGTGGCGCGCTTGTTCTGCACCGCCCTACCTTTTTTTTTTTCCTCTTGTTGTTTTTCCACCTGCCCGGCAACCCCGACGTGTGATAACAAAGTTATGTCATAGTGGATGCGCCTTGTTTTCACAGTCAACACAGAAATCAAGCAGCAGAGTGTGGACTTCCCTTCGCGCGCGGCGTTACTGACGGTATTGACTGATTTGTTTTGTCTTTGCAGGCCTGTCGGCACGCCATTTGAAGATGGTGAGTTCCTCCGTTTGGGGCTCTTTCATTGTCATAGGTAGAGAAATATGATGAAATATTGACTTATAGGGGCCATTTATTTATTCGCTGTGAGTGCAGTATCTGATTCGTATTTCATGAACTACTGATATCTTTAACAAATGTATGGGCCATTTTTGCTGCACTAAACTTTAACAGCCATTATGGGCCAGTCGTAAATCTTGAAATTCCTCTCCCTGCACAAAAAAAAAATGGTGTTCGCTGATTGGCTCAGTCATTCTCTCAAGTTTTCTTTGAAATCAAATTAAAAATCACATCAGCAGATTACAACCTTTTGTTGGTCAAGAAATGTTGTGAAGATGTGGCTTGATTCTTGCAAGGTTGCAGCTTTTCCGTAACCGTTAAGTTTGTATCCAAAAGTATATGTATTGGGGAAAAAAATTTTTTTGTCTCTCTCACTGCAGGAACGTTTAAGCTTCTGATTGAATTTTCAGAGGAGTACCCTAACAAGCCTCCCACGGTTCGCTTTGTATCCAGAATGTTTCACCCCAATGGTAAAATGAACACAAGTGCCTCTAACATTATTTTAGTGACTTTTCCTTGTAAAATATTTGACTCAATTTTTGCGTTTTTTGTTCTTATTCCAAAATACTTGTGTTGACTGTTGTTTTCGCCGTGTTCCCTCAGTATACGCAGATGGCAGTATATGTTTAGATATTCTCCAGAACCGCTGGAGCCCCACATATGATGTTTCGTCCATACTCACCTCTATCCAGGTGGGTGCTGTCCTTCACCACTCCCACACACCCGATGACATCACACCCGCTAATCCGTCGTTAACTGAAAATCATCATATCCAATTAAATGCACCAAAACTGGAGAGAGACTGATTTTGGTCCAGACTTGATACCAAAATGAAAAACAAATCTTAGGTATTTATCAATCAATCGATCTCTCTCGTAGTCGTTGCTGGACGAGCCCAATCCGAACAGCCCAGCCAACAGCCAGGCAGCGCAGCTCTACCAGGAGAACAAGCGGGAGTATGAGAAGCGAGTGACGGCCATCGTGGAGCAGAGCTGGGTGGATGTGTGAGACCCCAACCCAAACCCCCCCCTGCTTCCTCCCACCCCCACTCGTTGATTTTACCTCGTGTGTGCGTGTGTGCGTGCGTGTGGAGATGCGCATATCACAAAAACTCAATAAGTGCCACCCTGCAAAAAAAAAACAAAAAAAAACTATGGACGTTATATCAAGGGAGTGAGGCAGAATCATCTACCCCCCACCCCCAATTATTTTACTTTTTTATTGCATGTTGTGACATAAGTTATTGCTAACAGAACGTGTAATATATCTTTGTGGGGTTTTTTTTTTTTGATTGACACGCTGTCAGTGTGCTGCTGCTTGGTTTGTTTGGAAATGGCAGTTTCATGACCAAATTTTTTTTTAATCCCCCCCATGGGTTGTTTAAAAAAGCCTTTTGATTGGATGCCATCTTTTAACATGAATTTCATGATGACAGATTTTCCCACCTCAAGGCAGAAGAAGTGCATCGAAGGACAAAAAGTGTGGTGAGTCAGGCTAAGTTTGTATTCTAGAGGGAATTTTTTTTCCTCTGATGTAAAAGGACTCAAAAGCTTGCCGGAAAAACTAAAAAAATACATGAAAATAAAAATCATTTACTCCCTGAATCCAAATCAAAAAGGCTGGGAAATTGCGACTTTTTTTTTTTTTTTTAACTGGCATCGTGGCATCATGTATTTAGGATTTGTTCCGACTGAGCAGAAGGGACATGTTACATTTGTCAAAGGAAAGTATACTTATAACAATATGCTGTATAAAAAAAAGTTAATAAATTTTTTTTTTCAGATGACTTTTGTCATTTGTGCTTTTGCTTGATGCGCTCGTGTGGCAGAATACGTATCCGACTGACAAAAAAAGTCCCATCTTTCCAGAAGGAATATTTTTAGAATCATGTTGAATTGTATTTTCTTGACAAGTCATAATCTAGAAAGTCACATTTTATCAACACAAAAATCTGAATCAAATGACAATAGTTAGAAATCAACAAGTAGTAATCATAGCTTTATGGTGTTTTTCAGCACAAGTTGTAGTCTAGAGAATAGCTGTATTTTAATCAGAATAGTTGCATTTAAGAAAACATCTTTTTCCGGGTACTTGAGAAAAAAGGTCAGTTTGTCAAGAATTGTCTTTTTTGGGGTGAAAGCATGCCCAATAATTCCAGTTAACACACCAAGGAGGATTTTTATTTTAATACATTTAAAATAGGTCATTTTTCATCAATTTAAAAAAAATAAAAACGAATACACTACAACAATGAGATAAAATGACAGTGAAATGTCCACACTGCTGGCATCATGCATTAATTCATAAAAAAAAAAAAAAAGTCTTGGTGTGAAAGCAAACATGAGAACACAAGCACAGCCTGTATGTTCCCAACAGCAAGAAAAGGAATCCATCATCTGCCCTGTAAGCACAGTAGAACAACACCGGAGTCAGCAGATTGAATTCGTAATATATGTGGTATTTTAACTTGCAGGCTGGACTGTACCTGCTGCTGCTTTACAATTTCATCTCTTGTCTTGAAGACGGGCGCGTCCTCCACCTCGATACCCTCGGCCATTTGTTTAACTTTGTCAAGGAGCTCCGTGCTATACCTACAACAAGGGGAAAAAAAACTATGTTATGTCTTGAGACGCCGTACTGTTCCTTCCACAAAATCCCCCACTTAATATTTTATTTCATATCCACAAGCTTTGTGTGTGGTAATATAGAAATGTATATAATGTTATTCGCTATTTAAAAAATATATATTTTTTATCATTAGCTCAGACGCCAAAAGCATTTCCGTTTATGGCCAAAGGGGGCAGTAGCCAATTGATGTAGCATCATTCCATGGGTGAGCAACGAAGAAGAGTAGTTTGGGGGGGGGGGACAAAAACAACCGAAGAATTCGCCCAAAGAACTACTTTGAACAGTTTGAGAACTTTTGGAGCCGTTAGTCTCAATTTAACAGTTTAAAGTTGGCAGTTGTTTAACTAAATCACAAAAACATAAAAATGATCGTTCTAATGTTGCTTCCGAGCTGGCTGATGACCCTATCATCTGAATTAGGTGTGTTGCAGGCGGGAGAGCTGGAAAACAGGCAGGACAGTGGTCCAGACTTTTACAACGTTTTAAGAGGTAAGTGTAAATATGAACTGTCAAAACACTTTTTTTATGAACCACGAACGAACGTAAAAAATTTACGTGTTCTATTGTCTTAGCGATGCTCAACAAGCACATATTATTAGATATTGCATTGTCTTGGGGGCTTTAAAGTGACTTGTGTACCGGCAGCCGAGGAAGACGTTGTTGGCCCACACCATTGAAAGCGAAAGCAGCTGGTCCATGTGCAACTCGCCCTCAAAGTCGTTCATATTCCGCAGTATGAATTCCCTCCTGGGCACCCAGTGCTTGTCGCTTTCCCAGTGTCCGCGGAACGCCTCCACTTGGTCGGCCACTGCACGGTTTTGTCGGATAAAATCGTTTACGTCCGAGACCGACATCGTTGCGCAGAGTGCCCGCAGCGTGAGCAAAACTCGAGTACACCGTTGTCAAGGAAGGCGGTTTCCGGTTTTGGGAGAGTTACCCGGATTTTGTTTTCTACTCTGCACTTTGGGACACAGCAACATGCAGTGGTGGGAAAGAGTACTACAAGAGTCTGGGTGGCGGGGGGGGGGGGGTATTTATGCATCTCAGCATAAATGCAAAGATTAAGTACATTACTTAGAACAAGAAGTTTGTGACATTAGGCTTGAGTGAAATTTCAGTATGGTAAACAAGTGTATTTTAAGACATACATTAAATATATTGCATTATTGCAAAAATTGAAAAGCCATTCCGCTTTGTAAGTCTAATAAGAATTTAACCGCTGTCAAATAAAACAAAACTACTTACTCACTGATGGTGCCGGGCAGGAAGGTGTATGAAATTTACCTCTCGCTTGGTGAACTGAGATCTCACGAGAGTCAAGTCAAATTTATTTATATAACTCTTAATCGCAGAAACCTCTCAAAGGGTTTACCATTCCAACCGATGACAAATATTAACGACATCCCCTGATCTTAACGCCCAGGAGAGCAAGCAAAAAATAAAAAACGGGAAAAATGAGAAACCTCGAGAAGGGGACAGGGGTAGGGGAGGTTCATTGCATCATCCTGAGAGTTGTCCCTAATATTTTGCACCATGCCACTTGCCGAGGTTTAAGAAAACAACGGAGGATGACAACGATGGAAAATACATCACAGCATACGATGCAGCGTAGCAGATGACATTGCTGCGATCTGATTGGATGCTTGGCAATTGTCCAGGTTTGTCCTTTCCCAAGGTGAAATCTGCACATAAAATTAATGCATCACATAGTTTTACATTTACTTTAGAACCCGTCAATGTGACCTTGAAACCTGAGAGGATTGTGGGAGACCATACATATACCGTGGAAATAAAAAAAGAAATCTACACCCCTCCGTTCAAATGCCAAGTTTTGAGATATGACAAGAAAAAAAACATTTGCAAACCAATGACCAGCAGGTCCAAATAGCAGTCAGTGTTCTCACAACACCTTCGGGAAAAGCCTACCACAACATATGAACTTTATTAAGGGTTAATGAGAGGCACCTTAAATGGTGGCAAATGTTTGCTGACTCTCATTTAACACGAGAATGCGACTGGTTCATCCTGAACACAGACAGCCGCATGCCCATTTGCGATTGCTATTTTGTTACAGACATTGCGAAAAATACCTCCCTCCAAAAAAAAAACATTTCTGAAGAGGCACAAATGCATACATAATGACATACATCAATAAAATAAAACTTTAGTAGGGGGCCAAGAATGGATTCTTGTTTGTCATTCATTCAGCAGTTAAACATCTTAATACAATTACGTGTGAACGTATTAGTACATTTTGTTCCGCTGTCCTGTACGGAATGACGTACTTGCTCAAAGTGGCATCGTTTTCCTGTAGGGGGCGCTCGCATCTCAGAAACGGCACGACGAGGAAGTGCCACAACCGTGCTGCTCAATTCAAAGTACGCCATAAATATGGCGCCAAAAGAGTTTTCAAGCTGAGGCTCCACCACTCCATTCCTCCTCCACATTTGTTTTGTCTCTCTCGCTCACTCTCTCTCTCCCTCCTTTTTTAAGGAGGAGCGTGCAGGGCTGCAGGACGGAGGGGACGTTCATCTTGTGCATATCCGCGTCCAACACCGTGCGGCCCGGCCAGAGAGGGACGAGGAGGACGTGTTATCCTGGTAGTGTGTTTTGGAAGAAGAAGAAGAGAGGTAGAGGATTGCGAAACAAACTGGATTGCAATCTTTTGGGGGACCTCCGATTTCCAAACTATTTTTGGACGCTGCTGTATTTTCGTGAAAAAAAAATGCGACATGATTTTTTCCAGTGAGCGGCATGTCGTGCGCTGTAAGCCGCTCAGCGCGTAGTGAAACGCGGCTACGGTGGCGGCGACACCCCGGCCCCGCTGCTCCGTGACCTGGAGCTACTCCAGCTGACTTTTTTCCCCTCTGATTTTGTCGGGGGTGTGTGAATTTTATGTGGATTTCTTTTTTTTTTCCTAAGCTGTCAAAGTGGGTGGGAGGGGGAAGGCTCCTGTCAACCCAACGTGGAAGTTCACCCAGAGGAACAACATTTACATGTGCTTGGATCCCGATGGTCTCCTAATCGATGTGACCCCTTCCCCAGCAGAACATGGTAAATACCCCTTGATTATGTTCCTGTTTTATAATTAACGTAACGGTATACGAATGTAATGAGGTTTGTGGTTCTGATGCAGCAATTCGGCATCCGACTTAGTACGTGTGCGAAGGTGTGTGTGATGGAACTAACACATTTTAAAGAGGAAATGCACATGTTGCTAGTACGCAAGCGCAATTACCCCCGCCCCCAGCAGAACAAGATAAACACCTCCCTTATTATTGCATTCTAATCAATATTACAGTGAACGGTAAATGCATATAATATCACGAATGTCGCGGTTTGGGATGCACTTTCGTGATTCTCTTTGAGCCCTTTGCCAATAAATCACATGAAATGTACAGTCATCTTAAAGTTGTAATGTGACGTCATAAGATGCGGTGGAGGTCCGATGGCATGTGCGTGTGAAGTAAAGCGTTTAAATAGGAAACGCACATGTCGGTAGTGAGCATGCGCGTGGTGTCAAGCGGTTTGTGTGTGTGTGTGTGTGTGGGGGGGGGGGTGTAATGGCAACAAATTGTGCACGATTCGCAGTGGCGTGCAACCCAAAACTTGCCAGATAGTGAGTCGGATAGGGTGCGCATGCGCGGTCGAGTGGAGAAGTGCACCTTCACAGCCCTCGGAGGAATTGCAGGTTCCTTTGCATAGATGAGAGGTTGGGGGGGGGGGCAGTTCTGCTTTTAGGAAGGCAGAGCACGCCACCACACACACTAGGACTCGCACACACATGCACGCACACACCTAGGAATTAGAGTAACCCCTCTACCCGTGCCTCCTCCTCCTCCTCCTCCTCGTTCTGCTGCTGCTGCTGCTGCTTCGTGCTGTGCAGATCCAGCAGGCTTTGGAGGAAGAGGACGAGGAGGAGGGTGTATTAGGGGTGGGGGGGGTCTGGTGGTTGTTTACCTCCATTTCTTGTGTGGAAGTGACTGCAGCACCTTTCTCATATTAATAGAGCGACAGATACTTCCTAGCATTGATGCACCGATTTGATAGTTAATACAGAGCTAGTACGTGAAGGCAAAGTAGGGATGGGCAGCATGTACCTTGTTGGCCCAGGTTAAGGGTTCAAAGGCAGGTTGAAGTTTCACAATAGGCCTTCATCCCTGTTTTTGGATTGCAAAAAAACAGTTTGTGATTCAATGTAGGGTCAAGGGTTTCTAAGTAGGGTTTCCGGTGAACATTTGGGTGCTCGTCCAATTGAGGGTTGTTGCCCCCTGGGGGGCGTCTCCGCCATGCAATCTATCGTCACTTACTCGCCCATTTTTGAATCAATTAAAGCACAATTGTCCGGAGACTTGTTAAGTGTTCCCGTTGGTGACCCATCATCACGTACTCGCACACGCGGGCGCGTACACACACACACACACACACACACACGCGCGCGCGCGCGCTCCCTCCCTCCTCCTGCTGGGTCCAAAATTGGAGATGAGTCATAATGTGTGTGTGTGTGTGTGCGTGTGTGTGTGTGTGTGTGTGTGTGTGTTGCATATCTCCCAACCCCCCGAGGGTCTTATGTGGCAAGATGTTGTTTCCAGGCCTTCATCTTTTCATCCCTCGTGCCTCCATCATCATGCGACTCACAAGTGTACATACAGTGTACACGTGCGTGCGTGTGTGTGTGTGTGTGTGTGTGTGTGTGTTGGGCTGTGATTGGTTGAAAAAAAAGGGGTAAGGACCACCACGTGGTGCAGTGACGGACTGAGGAAGAGGAGGAAGATAAAGGGGAAAGTGGAGGGAAGGGGGAGGGTGGAGCAACGTCATGTACGCGGCGTACGTTTCTGTTTATCTGCAGAGAAACGTCGGCTTGCAAGTCATGATGATTCGGGTTTCAAATAGGGCACATTCAATCAGGATTTTTAATTTATTTTTTTTAATTGGGGGTATTCTGATATTTGACAGAATAATATTCAGAGAAGCGACTGTCGACTAATGAAAAAAATATACAGAATAAAATTTTTATTGTAAATTGGAATTACAGGCAGAACATTCTGACATTTCTCCTTGTTTACAAGAGAAAAATCGACAGATTTTTTTTGCGCGGGGGGGGTCCTGTGTTGTATTTCTATTATGTGTTTAAGGTGCAATGATTAATCGACAACTGATCGGTAATTGAATGAATGGAGAATTGTTTTTATAATCGATGTATTAGGCTTTCAAATCGGGTTACGATTTCACGAGTGGTACTGAAATTGGGGTCTCAACTTGGTCTTCGGGCTTGAAAGTCGAGTGTTCAGACTGCACCTTGTTCTGAGCAGTGGACGCTGTCCCAATACTTTTGTCCTTATCGTGTTCGGATGCCAACGAGTGAGGGATGAGGGACAGGTGAAGGTGAAAACGGGGTTGGCAAGGCAGGCGAACACACACACACACACACACACACACACTAGCATTATGAAGCAATTTATATGCAACGATTCTCTATCAAACTGACTGACCTCTGCCTTCTGTGTGTGTGTGTGCGTGTGTGTGTTCCGAGGCAAACAGCCTGTGTTGCGTAGCTGTTTGTGCGTCTGCCATTAGTTACTTAATGTGTGTTTATCATGGATGCATTTGTCAGTATCCCATGACGACCGTAGCTCTGACTTTGTGTGTGTGTGTGTGTGTGTGTGTGTG